ACTGACGCACTTACAAATACTGAACTGATATATTACTGTACGGTTTTATCGATATTGTACGGATTTACTGTTAATGCATGATTTTACTGTTATATCATTACTGTTCATATCACTGGATTGTTACTGATACTGATACAGGCACTGATACTGATTCACTGTACTGACGTTATGAACGTGATATACTGTGTAAGTGACATGTGATTCACTGAACATGTGATATAGATTATTGGATTGCATGTGATTCACTGAGCACGTGATATTGAATAACTGAATTGCAAGTGTATATTTTGATATGATTCTACGACATTGATTGATTCCAACTGTTTCAAACAATGTTATGATTTTATTCCATTGATCTGATTTCAACAGTCACGAACGACATTATTGATTTGACGTTTTATACCGATTGATATTATTGAACCAATGAATTCTCTTTATACGATTGACATTATTGACATAATGATTTATTGACTGATTTGATTGGTATTACCGATACGAAGATTTCTTTAACGATTTAACTGAGATTTTAGATATGAAGATTTGTCTACTGAATTGACTGATGTTATTGATACGACTACTACTGTAGAGATTTGACGCACGTATTGATTCATTGAGCTTTACGAACTTTTATACTGTTTATTGATTCTTCTACTGATAATTATGGCTCTATACGTTTCTGTATTGATTACCGTTCTGTATTGATTTCTGTTTATGTACTGATTCCTATTTCTTCATTGACTCAATGATCATGTGTAAGTGACTGCTATGATTTGACTGATTGACATGCATATTGCTTCCGTACCGTGCTTTGATGTCAGTTGTAGGTATTTGGTGACCTGCTGGGCTTTTTGAAGCTCGTTATATGTGGTTAATATTTTCAGGTCAGGTCAAGGGAGCAGGAGATTGAGGTTGATCAGGAATCTTCAGGTTTTTGTCTTTTTGTTTTAATGATTCTTTTTGTACTCAGGATATGATGGATTACATGTGATTAATGTGTAGATCCTGAGTATTGTAAATGAACTTTTGGGAATGAATGAAAATGTTTACTTGATGTTTTAAAGTATAGATTTTGTTAGACTGTTTATCACTGATTGATGATTATAGATAGCTCTGGTAGAAGATTGACTTAAAGGATTGACTGAATAATTCTTCCAAGTTAGATCTTGGGGCGTCACCTGGTACCATGAACTGCAAAACCATGTAGAAAGATCACCCACCGACCTCAGGAATATCCGAATTATACTTCGTTGAGGGTATTTGTAGCCGAGCTTGTTGAGGCCATAAAAAAACAAGGAGTTCTTCAGGTGTCCGCTGCCTATGAAGTTCTATAGTGCCCGGGACACATCACGGTATTGCGCATTCCATAAGGATTATGGGCATGACACCGAGGAATGTCGACACCTGCGCAACCTAATCGAAGAACTTATCGAAACAGGGAAGCTTATAGAGTTCATGCTCGCTAATTTGGAGCGACAGCTAGGAAAGGCCCCAACCGAAGAAGGCACTAACGAGCCAAGGTCAGCTTGATCCATTCACATCGTGGGAGTAGTATCCATAGGGGCATCAAAATGGATTTTTGGGTTAGGTTCGGGTACAACCTGAAACTGACCCACCTTCAATTGATCTGACCCGAACCGACCCAATTAGACAAACAGGTCATAAATCCAAACCCATACCTGATGCAATCAAAAATTTGGGAGAGGAACCCAAATTTTTGATCACAAAAAAGAGATACTCTTTCTAGGATGATAGAAAGACATAAAATACTTAAAAGAACACAAATACTATAAAACATAACTTTATATAATAAAACGACTTACAAACTTTTGACTCAAATGACACTTATAATTTGGACGCTTACAAACTTTGACACCAACAAAATGACACCCTAAACTTGCTTACTTTGAGAAGAGGGATACAGGTGAGGTGGCACTTGCGGATAGAAGAAAGAGATTAGGAGACGAGACGAAGGTTGGAAAGAGCCCGCAGGATTTCCATAGGAGGAGGGGAATCAGGTTTTCTCTCCAAAAATAACTCACATCATCTTTTTTTAACATTTCCAAAACAACTCCTACTTATAAGATCAAAGAGGGCAGCCAAACAGCCCTTTAAAACCACTAATTAATCTCATTAAAATAAGAATATAGAAGGCCATAAGTCACCAAATAGAAGACCAAAAGACAGCACAAATTCTGCAGGAAAATTGCATTGAAAACAGTGGAAAGACCCATGGAAATCCTCCCAAACAGCAGCCCACAAAAAGCCATCAATGAGGGCCAGCTGGCTGTTCAAAATCAGAAGCCAAACAGCCCAAAACAGCAGCTGAAAAGGCAGAAAAAA